CATGACACCTGGCCCTGCTAGTTGGCCTTTGGGCGCGTCCGAGTGGCCTACCAGTTCCTAGTGCCCATTGCTACGTAAGTAGATCTCTGCTGTCTGCTTTGAGGGGCTTCCCAAGGTTCCAAGAGCCCTAGGGTGAGTGGGTATGGGACAGCTGTGGGGCAGCGGCCCAGTTTCCAGGGAGCGAGGCCTGCGTACCTTCAGCCTGCACCATCACGGTGGTTTATAACAAGACCAGTGCCTTGGTTCTCAGTGTGTGACTCCAGCCTTCCATGCCCTTGGGGTCTACCCTGCTTACTGCTGGTACGAGGGCCCCACCAGTTCCTGGCCCAGGAGCCTCCCAGCTCCTATTGCTGGGTGCTCACACCACCTGCCTGAGCACTCGGAGACCCTGCCTAGCTGGAGGACAAGGGATGAGAAGGGAGTGTATACCTGTGTGTGGGCATTCTACCCCACACTCACACCAGGTACTCACCACATGTGTGCACAATACACAGACACCCCACATATGCACCCACACATGATGACACACACTACATACAGGCGTCTGCCTCTGAGGCCTCCATCACCTTCCCCTCCAAACCTGCCCCCTCAGGAGGACTTGGCCTGCTTTTACCTCCTGGGGCCTCCCAGGCCTGCCCTGCCCTGCTTCCCCACTTGGACCATTCACCATGGACCACCCAGGCCCTTAGGACACCCCTGCTTTGTTGCTCACAGTGGGGCAGTCAGAGCCAGCCGTAAGCGTGATCGGTCACTCCTGGTCATGCCTGACACCTCAGCCGGGCGCTAGTGAGTGAGTGCAGTGTTTTAGGGTAATGGATGGCACGGGGATGAACACTCTATTCCTTGTAGCTGTCAGATGCCATGGTACCTTTTAGTGTGTTTGTTTGTTACAGTCAGCCCTTAGGTGCCTTAGCCCCTGGCCAGTACTGCTGGGCGATGTGCCATATGCCATCTGCCAGCCTCATCCTCAGGAGCTCATCTGTCACCACCTCCCCCACTAAACTCTTATCCCCAGCACTTGAGAGGCTGGTCCTCTCCAGTACCTGATGGTCCCAGCTTGCCTCTTCCTCTGCTGGTGGTCACTTACACTTCAGTCGCTTGTCCTCCTGCACTCCTATTTCACGGTTCTCCCTTGGCTGCCGAGTACTTAATAAGGCCTTCCTGTAGATTTTCTGTCCTCTTGCTCCCAGAGCTTTCCACATATTTTCCGTAGCTGCCTTTTACACGCTTTGGCATCTGTTTATTGAGTTGAAGGGTACAGCAGTTCTGGGTGTGGGCAGCCTAGTTCTTGCTACAGGTCCCATGTGGGTGCTGACCAGGTGGGTAGTCATGTACCTGGGGTGTGAGCGGAGGTTCCGAAAGAGCTGGGGCTGGTCCATAGGTGGAGTTGTGTGTAGGGGCGGGGCAGTGGACGGGGCTGTGTGCAGGAGTGGGGCTGTGGGTGGAGCTATGTGCAGGGACAGGGCTATAGGTCAGTGAACTCCTGGCCCTCAGACCTCATCTTGGGTCTGATGGAGTGGGCAGAGTGCCCATAGGTCACAGGATTTCTTTTGTGTCCTTGCTGTAGTTCCTCATCCACCCCTAGCTGAGCCTAACCCAGCTGCTGCCCATCCCCCATACAGGTTTCAGATCGCTTCTTCCCTATCGAAAGAGCTCTGTGCCCTAGTCTTTGGAGTCAACACGTTCCTGGCCACCGTTCTCAAAACCATCATTACCCTCATTGTCTCAGACAAGCGGGGCTTAAGCTTATCTGTCCGCTCTCAGGTGAGTGCCTTGGGGTCCTGCATGGGCCTGCCTCCAGGTGCCCACCTGGTCAGGGATTCTTGTTCAGGGAACCCAGACTGCAGATGCACTGTGGGCTGGGTATCCCAGGGACACCTGGGTCAAATACTGTCAGGAAGTAAGAAGGGCCTGAGTGGGTGTGCCTCAGAGGGGGCAGTAGGTGGTGCAGTAGCCAATCTCTGAACAGCCTACCTGTGCTGTTCTTTCCTCCTCCCAATGGCCACATCTTTTTTTTTTTTTTGGAGAGGTTTTTTTTTGCTATAGGGCGTGTGTGCTCGCCACACAGACAGAGAGAGACAGAGAGACATAAAGCAAGAAATCACCCCCCAGGGGGGATGGTCATGCCGCAATCCCTTCTCCATTCTCCTCTCAGGATCTTGGGCACGCACGCACACGCACCTGGTGTGAGTTTTATGCCACCGGGTCTGGGACGCGAACTGCGGTCGACTACGTGGGAGTCCAGCGACATAGCCATTACGCTAACTGCTGGTCCCCAGGCCACGTCTTTTGTTAGACTTGGATTTTGTGTTGTGCAGAGCGGCTGGGTACCAGTCGCTTCTGAGGACAAGCTCTCACCAAGCTGTGTGTCCCCATGCTAGCCAGCCCGTGGGAAAGGGTGACATGGTGTAAGATGGCCCTATGTCTCAGCTGCTTACCTGATTGTCAGGGCCTGGCAGTCCAAGCCCTAGCTTGATGACATTGGTTCCCTTCAGGAAGGAGAGGTTGATGTTATACGCTTCTAGCTAGGGTCACCCCTCCCCCCCACCCCCTACTACTTCCAAGAGGTGCTTGGAAATGTCTTTGTGCTGTCCAATTGGGAACCTCAGCATTTAACTCCTGGGGTTCTAGCCGAATACTGCTGGCCAGACAGCAGCTCATGGGAGGGGTGGCTCTGCAGGGCCAGGGCCTTGTCTACCTGGAGGCCAAGTGTCATGGGACAGGAAGCTTGTCAGGGCTGCTCAGCTCCATTGAGAAGTCCTGACCATTGCAAAGGACCAGACTGGGAAGGAGGAGGGTTGTTCTGGTTTGTGGGTGTGGACTATCCCACTGGAACACCTGCGTGTAGGGCTCTGAAATGCCTCCAAGCCAAGACTCCAGCACCTCCTGCCCTTTGAGACCTGCGTGTCTCGAGGCTTATTCATGCAGGCAGGCAGCCCTTGGCCCCATGCCCAGGCTGGTCTCTGGACAGTACTGCCTTGCTTGGCTTATTGGGTAACACGTCCAAGCTGAGCAGAGGTGCACAGAGCCTCCTTCTGGCACTTGAGCTATTCTCACTGGCAGGAGCACGTGTCCCTGGAATTATGAGTGGGCTCCACATGTTCCTGCCAGGTGGGTCTAGACAGGGCAGGCCCACTTGGGTCAAGTCATTTGCTCTCAGACAGTGGTGGTTGCTAGCATGGGTGGATGGGAGGGCCTATGCAAAGAGCATGCCGGCAGCCAGGCCAGCTGGCCACCTGACCTCAAGTCCCTGCCTTCCTGTCTCATAGCCTCTAGCATAGCTTGTGGGAGCCTGGAGGTAACCGTGTTCTATGGAACACACGTGGGTCCCCCAGAGGGACTCCTAGCCTTAATGGGCTGGTCCTGCCCTACCCATCCCATGTGGCTCAGTGACCTGAGGCTGGAGCTCCTGGCTGGATGAAGAGAAAAACTATTTTCCCTCTGGCTAGTGGCTATCAGGTTAAAAAGTAACTAGTCTTCAGGCCTTTTGTCCTTAATTAGAAATCTTGAAGGTCTCCAGAGAGCAGTGTCAGCTCATCCTGTCCCTTCCACACAGCATCTGGGTGTCTTTATTGCACTCAATCCTGAGTGGGCCTGAGTGCAGATGACAGCAGGGACAGGCATACAGGATACAGACTCAGAGGGCAAAACTGGGTCACTGATGGGAACTGAGGAGGGAGCCTCGAGGCCAGCAGGCCTGAGGCTAACCTGGGCTTGCTTGATTTTTTGATTTAAACTTTGTTTGGGGATCATTTGATATTCACATGCAGCTTCAGAAATAACACTGAAAGTGTCCTGTACCCAGTTATCCCAGGGGCCCCCACAGTTTCACAGTACAACACACAGTCAGTATTCAGAATGTTCATTCTCCACAACTCCCCATGCTATCCTCTCATGGCCACACCCCCTTTCCTTCCAGTCCTTCCTCCTCCTTAACCTGGTCCCCCAGCCTGCCCTCCATGCACTACTTTGGTCCAAGAATGTTACATCAATGTAGCCGCACATGTATGTTAGAGGAGTGACAGTTCTCTCATGTCCCTCTCTGGAGATTTAATCCAAGGTATCATCAGAGCACTTCCTTCCTGTCACTGCTGAGTGGAATTCCTTGGTGTAGGTACACCACAGTGTATTCACTGCTGAAGGCCTATGCGTCGTTTGCAGTTTGGAGATATAAATTAAGACATTGCAAACATTCTCTTGCTGATTTTTTTTTTATTTTTTTTATTGAGAGGTTTTTGCTATAGGGCGCGTGCGCTCGCCAGACATAGAGACAGAAAGCGAGAAATCACCCCCCAGGGGGGATGGTCACACCGCAATCCCTTCTCCTCTATTATCCTCTCGGGATCTTGGGCACGCATGCACATGCACCTGGCATGAGTTTTAAGCCACCGGGTCCGGGATGTGAACTGCAGTCCACTACGTGGGAGTCCAGTGACATAGCCAAAGGTATGGCTTTTTTGTGCAAAGGTAGGTTTTTGTTTCTCTGGATAGATGTTCAGATGTGTAATGCTGGCTCACATGGTGGTTGCTTGTTTCTTAAGAAGCTATCTGTTCTCCACAGTGTTTCTTCATATCCACATGGGCACTTGTGGTGTTGCTGTTTTTTGTTTGTTTGTTTGTTTTTTTAGATTTTGGCCATAAGGTGAATATATGTGCTGGAGAGAAACGAAGAGAGAGAGAAAAAGTGAGAAATCATCTCCCCTCCCTCCTGGGGGATGACCACACCACAGTTCCTTCTCTTGCATTCTCCTTTTAGGGTCCTGGGCATACTCACATACATTCCTCATCTGTTTTTAACGCCACTGGGTCTGGGACTCAAACTGTGGAGTCAGCCATGTGGGATCCAGTGCCTAACTACCACACCATCTGGTGGCCCAGCATTGCTAATTTTTAATCTTAGCCATTCTAATAGGTGTGCAATAATATTCCCTATGTTTTTTGGTTTTTGTTTTTAGGTTTTTGCTACAGGTCTTGTGCACGTGCCAGAGAGAGAGAGAGTCAGAGAGAAAGAAAGTGGTAAATCACCCCCAAGGGGGATGACCACACTGAAATCCCTTCTTCATTCTCCTCCTGGGATTTTGGGCATGTACAAATGTGTCCAATGTGATTTTCAAACTGCTGGGTCTCAAACTTAAACCACAGTTTACCATGTGGTATATCCAGCTGCCTTGAGTTCCCTGTGCATTCTGGTTATCAGTCCCTTATCTGAGACATAGTTAACAAAAATTCTCTCCAATTCTGAGGGTTGTTGATTCACACTAATTACCATGTTCTTTGCTGTAAAGAAACTTCTTAATCTCATGTAATCCCACCTGTCTATTTTGAGAATTATTGCCTGTGCATTGGGGGTCTTGCTTTAGAAGTATTTGCTTACCCAGTGTTTCCCAGAGTTTCTCCAGTGTTTTCCACCAGTATTTTTATAGTTTGCGGTCTTAAGTTTAGATCTTTGATCCACTTTCAGTTGATTTTTGTGACAGAGATTCAAATTAATCTTTTTGCAGGTGGAAATCTAGTTTTTCCAGCTCCATTTGCTAAAGAGGTTTTCCTTTTCCCACTGGATTGACTGGTACCCTTTGTCAAAGATCAGTTTGGTGTATTTTTTGAGATTTATTTCTGGGGTCTCTACTCTGTTCCATTGGTCTTCGTGTATGTTTTTGTGCTAATACCATGTTTTGATTATCACAGCTTTGTAATATATTATGGGGTCAGGGTGAGAGATGCCACCTACTCCACTCTTCTTGTGCAGGATGGCTTTGGCAAAATGGGGTCTTTATGATTCCAGAAAAATTCTATTATTGTCTTTTCTAGATTTGTGAAGAATCTCACTTGTAATTTTATAGGGATTGCATTAAATACGAAGATTAATTTGGGTAGTATTGCCATAATGATTATATTAATTCCCCCAATTCAGAAACATGGGATGTCCTTCCCCTTTTTTGTCCTTGTAAATTTCTTTTTTAATATTTTCATAGTTTTCCTTATAGAGATCCTTAACTTCCTTGGTTAGTTTTATTCCTAGGTATCTTATACTTTTTGTGGCCATGGTAAATGGGATTACTTTCTTAAGTTCTGTCTCTGTCTGCTTGTTGTTTGTATATAGACGTGCTATAGATTTTTGTAAATTAATTTTTATATCCTGCTACTTTACTGTATGCATTAATTACTTCAAGAAGTTTATTTATAGATATTATTGGGCCTTCATTGTATACAATCATGTCATCTGCAAACAGAGATAATATCAACTCTTCTTTCCCTATTGGGATGCTTTTTATTTCATTCTCTTGTCTGATTGCATTGGCTAGGACTTCCAGCACTATATTGAATAGGAGTGGAGAGAGTGGGCAACCTTCTCTTGTATGAGATTTTAGTGAAAAGGTTTTGTCCTATTCAGTATAATGTTAGCTATAGGTTTTTCATGGATGGCTTTTTTTTTTTTTTTTTTTTTTTTTTTTGTTTTTTTTTTTTTTTTTAGAGGTTTTTGCTATAGGGTATGTGCGCTTGCCAGAAAGACAGAGAGACAGACAGAAAGTGAGAAAACACCCAGCGGGGGGGATGGCCACGCTGCAGTCCCTTCTCCTCCATTCTCCTCTCAGTACATACACACGTGCCCGGTGGGAGTTTAAGCCACCGAGTCCAGGACTCGAACTGCAGTTGACTATGAGGCTGGCGCCATAGCCATTACGCCAACTGCTGGTCCCCATAGATGGCTTTTCTTATGCTGAGAAATGATCCTTCTATGCCAATTTTACTGAGAGTCTTGATAC